GCTTTTGCAAAGGAATTCAGATAGGAAGGTCTTAGAATAAACACCTTAATTCTCATTCTACCATTCCTACTCACGTCAAAGAACCATTCAGTACAGCCTGGGCCAACCCACGGGGAGAGCTGCCTTCTGCCGGGGGCTCGCTTTTGTCTGGTGTCCAGCCGTCAGGGGCTAGTGCTCACCCCAACTTGGCTGCCATTCTTCACTTTCCTCCTCTAGGATTCTAGTCACACCACTAATCAAGCATGAGGGCTGCCTTTGTTTCATTTATTGACAAGTCTCTGGTTTGTCTGGACAGACATGAAAGCTGTGATTAGCACTAGGCATGTAAGAGGAGGCAGGGTCCAGGAGGAGAGAGAAACAAAGGGACCATAAAAATTAGGGTTTGCAGGGTTAACCCAAGCCGCAGATGGATAAACAAAAAGCTAAAAGGAAAAAAATGAAAAAGGAATTTTGTGCTACCAGCTCAGGCTTTCTTCAGAGAGACTGTTTGTAGTGTGGGACGCTGACAGGTAGTGACCTGAGAGTTCGAGTTAAACGTTTTGAAACGACAGAGGGCGCTCCGGGCTGGCCTCCTCCTAGCTCATCTACAGCATCTGCAAACTCAATTGCCAGTCCTCGAGAGACTATTTTTGAAGATGGGGGAGAAGGGTGAACCAAAGCACAACTCCCTTCAGCAGAGATGACTTTGCAAGGCGTTTTGGAAGGGAAGGCCAGGATCGACACAACTTCTTATTCCCTCCTGTATTTGTTGCTAAATGCTGTTTTTTTTCCTACCTGACAGGTCTGATTGCTAATGTATAGAGTTCAAACCTTGACCCAGGAATATTTCTAGAATCTCCTAAACTTTGCTTTTGGAATGTTTGAGCCAAACACCCTAAACAATTTTATTGAAAATATAGTCCCGCCAACACCAATATAGGAGCTATGGTAATGCTCTCAGGTAAGCATTAGAGTCTGAAATGTCAGTGGTTCAAACCCACCTGCTGTGCCTTGGGAGAAAAGGGAGACTTGCTGCTCCCATAAAGATGTACAGACTTAGAGCACCTGTGCTGTGTCATCACGTGCAGGAATGGAATCAGTGGCAATGAGTAGTTTGTTACAAATATCGACACAGTAATTTTAAAAAATAGAGGAAAGAATTATATATCATTTTGGATCCAGGGAATTATTTTTAAATCTTAATATCTATTAAAATGATTAACATAATAAAATAGGAATTATTTAGGATTTCAGAAAAATTCAAAGTTTGAGGGTATGCACATAAGCCTTTTTAATTGTTAATTTTGTTGTTTTTATATCCATTGATATAAAATCCTTGATATTTTTATAATAATAACATATCCCAATCCTATGTACTTCCATTAAAGCATAGCTTTCAAATCTTTACAAAATTACTCAAAGTTTAGGGATATAGAAACTATGATACAAACTGAGGCAAAGATAAAGATGGAAACCTAAACTTATAAAATCTAAACCCTAAGAACAGATTGACTCTCAACATTTCAAAGTATGATTCTTCAATGGAATTATATCTTGACTATTACCAACAGTTTCATTGGTGAAATCTTGTTTGAAAACCTAATGTGGAGCTGAGTTACAGAGATTTGAAAAAGTAAACCGAAAGTAAGGAGCAGAAAATTATATATATATATATATATATGTAAAAATATATTGCTAAAAGTTATAGAAACATTTGTGAAACAAAAACATTAAAATATAAAGCTATTGCTCCTCGGAATTTCAGTCTATACTTCTGAAGGCACTGGCAGGCTGCTGATTGCAAGGTTGGCGGTTCAAACCCACCAGCCACTCTGAGGAAGAGCTGCTCCCAGAAATCTTCCTAGCCTGGGAAACACGGTATCATTCAGTCTGGAATCTATTTGAAAACCTATATAAATAAGTCAGAATTTACTTGATGGCAGTGGAGAAGGGTTCCTTTCCTATAGAATTTTCTGCTCTTTGGTTCTCATCGCAGTTTTAGAATCCCTGAGGGACTCAAAGCATCTTCCTTTAAAAAGCTCTTTGAGTTTGGAGAATACGAAGATGTGTGAAGGAGCAAGGTCAGAACTCTAGGATAGAGATGGCAAAGTTTCCTAGCAAAATTGTCCTGCACCTGCTAATTCTTTGAGAGTAGCAAGGCATTATCATGATAGAAAACAAAAAACTTTTTTTGATTTTTCAAAAATGATCAATGCAGTTTTCAATATTCTTAACATGTCTAATCATCTCCTGTAACTGTCCTGCATCCTTCCAGAAAAATCCGTGGATCCTGAAAAACACTTGCCATCGTCTTCTGAGGTGGACTCTGCTTCGAGTTTAATAGATTCTCAGACGCACTGTTTTCACCGACCTTTCTTCGAAGGCACCACAGTGAGACCACTTGTCCGTGGTGATTCACTGACAACATGGCATGTTTAAACACGTTTTGTTTTGTTTGGAATCAATGCATGCATCGACGACATAGAATACTAGGAGCCATACTCTTTGACTGACCCTGAAATACGTTCCATGAAGTCACGGACTCATTAGACTGGAAAGAAACCATGGCTTGTCTGCGGTCACGATCGCCCTGGACTCTCTTGCAGCATCAACAGGTAAATGTTTGCTACGACCCCGGAGAAATTACAACCTACCCAGAAGCACTTTGGAAGACAGAACTCTACGAAGCAGTCTGGCGCTGTAACTATCGGGTAGCCATGAGTCAGAATCAATTTGCAGCCACGAACAGCATCATAGCTTCATCAAAGTCATCCCAAGTAGGGGTGAATCTGACTAGTCCGTGCTTAAATTCTCAGGAAAGGACACATACCAACACTGTTTAAGTGTCCTCCTATCTCTTGCTCACCCTCTGTGTCTGGAAAGTGATTATTTCTTAGAGCTTGCATCTCCTTGACTCAGGGTTGTGTCTCCCTATAGATTATTGGGCCTCTGCCAAAGCTTTAATATTTGCTGCCCTCTAGTGTCATCTAGAAGGACTGCCGTGTAATGTGGAGAGGGCAAAAGAAGGAGGAGAGGGAGGGAGACCGGATGCATCTGTCTGAATCCTAGGATATACGTAATGAGTACTTTCAAGGACAAGGAAACAACCAGATATGCATAATTTTTAACTTTTTGACTAATCTAACACCATCATTTCTACAGTTGTTCAGAGTCTCCCCAAATGAGACGAAGCTACAAGGTGAAGAGCAAACCGACCTTGAACACAGCCCGACTGGCAGGGCTTCATTTGGAGAGTGAGAAAGAGAGTGTGGGCATTGTGAGCTCTGAGCTAGACTTGCCTCACGAGTCTTCATTTAACCGAAACAAAAACCCCAAACCTGGAAACCAAATCCACCGTCGTGGAGTTGATTTTGACCCACAGGACACAGGCGAACTGCTCCTCGGGGGTCCCCAGACTATACTCTGGATGGGAGCAGACTGCCTTACCCATCTTCTCTAGAGGGGCTGATGGGCTGCAACCAGCAGCCTTTTGTGGTTAGCTACCCAGTGCTTAACCCATTGTGCCACCATGGGTATCAGATGAAGAAAGCCAAAGGACAAAAATGTGACATCACCAGAATTGACCTTTCAACGATCCCCTGGCTTCAGTTCACTCAAACAACCAAACAGAACTGTATTTGATTAAGAAATCTGTAGCTCCAAACTTCTGTTAAGGCACAAAATCTCAAGCTTACTAACACATGTCGATCAGAGAAGGGAGTTCTTATATTTTAGTCCTTCTGATCCTACTCCTTCCATTAGAGCAAGGAACCAACCTTTCCACCCTTTGTCAAATGTCGCCGACTTTTGTTAAGAGTCCCTCTGCTTTTAGCCTTACTCAACTACTTCCTACAAGACATTAGAGGGAGAATGAAAAATAAAACTTTGGGTGCCCAGCAAAGTAGGGTTTACAGAACAGTAAAATCCCCTGAGCATTCTGAACATTTTAAGCATATGCCTAACTCTTTGAAGGGTGAGTGGCACATAGGAAATCAGTTGTTTCAAAGCACATTTTTACTGAGAGCACTGTTTTCGGCAGTCCCTGGTTTGTCTATGTATCAGGAGTCTGAACGCTTGTTCCTGCTGGCACTCCAATGTGAGATCAGCCATGGATGGCCCCTCCCATCAATGTGGTACTTTCACATAGTCACACAAGATGTAGGCTTGTGTGAGATCACTGGTTTGTGTTTGGATGAGATGAGCATCATGAGCAGGAGAAAACTTCAAACGTAGGCTCGCGCGCGCGCGCGCGCGTGTGTGTGTGTGTGTGTGTGTGTGTGTGTGCACCTGGGCGCAAGCGCACTCTGTTTCTCTTCCCCTCTTCTTGTTAATACCTTTCAAAGACTATGGTATTAGAATGGCAAGGATACGGCTCACTTGGTCAGAAATTTTAGATATTAGATTTTAGTGATTTGAAAAAATTGTGGAAGAAAATTCTTTTGCACAGAAGATCACTTTAAAGCACCTCTCTGGTCCAGTCATTATCTTGATCAAAACTCATAAAACTTATACCTTGTAGCATAGCAGCCAACCTCCTTAAAATCTGACCCTTGTCTACAGTTCCTATCATCCTCTCTGGTTTTCATGCCACACAACCCAAAGTACTTAATTCTCTCTAAATCTAACATCACCTCCACATTTCTGTGTTTCTTTGTTTCAGAAATGTAACAACCCTTCACCTCATCATTGGTCTCTAAGACAGATAATCATTCCAGAAGACATCTCAGATACCATTCTTCACGGCAGGGTTGTTGATTCCTCTTCCTTGCACGGTCTTTATCTGCGTTCACTGTCATTTTCTGAGAAGGCAGTGCCTCCTCACAAGGCCCTCTTCCTTAAACTAGGTGAGCTCCGGACATTCTGGGCCTGACTGGCCTGAGAATGCATGGTCACTAGACCATGGAGCCCAGGAAAGGCTGGTGAACTGAACTGACGTGTCCAGGGACTCAGAGAAGTCCTTCATGCAGAGCGCATCCCCAGGCAGCTGGGGCTTTACCAAAGTAGAGGAGACCCTTTCTTACCTTCCTTCCGGCTATGTAACCTCCTGCAGCTCCGAAGCTTTTCGTGAATGTGCCCATTAACACATCGACATCACAAGGGTCCATTCCAAAGAAATCCACGACACCCCTGCCGGTGGGGCCCACAGCCCCAATGCTGTGTGCCTCGTCGATGTAGAGGTAAGCCTTGTATTTCTTCTTCAGAGCCACGATCTGGGGCAGGTGCAAAATGGTACCTTCCATGCTACAGTATAAAGAGAGATGCTGGTAAGGGTCATGAAACCACAGGAGAAACCCCACAGGAGTCCTCGCTCCACTATGTTGCAACCTGCTCTGATATCAGGCCGCGGATAACAGATGCCCGCTATCTCTTTACTCCTTTCCTTCCTTTCTCCTTTCCACCCCTCTTCCCTCCCTCCTACCCTCTTCCTTCTTCTGTTCTTTCTTGTCTTAAAATAAACTCAACCAAAAAGTTTTCCATCTACACCCTTTTCAAGTGATGCTCAGAATGTTGTGCAACTATTAGCATGATTGTTTCCAAAACTTTTTGTATCACCCCGAACAGAAACTCAGTAACCCCCATTCTCCCTTCCTCCAGGCCCTGGAAACCACTTACCAACCCGGTCCTTTATACAGTTTATAGAATTGGGACCATACAGCAATTGTTCTTTGCAACTGAAATATTTCACTCAGTGTCATGTTTTCAAGGCTCACCCACATGGTAGTGTGTACTAGAATTTTATTCCTTCTTAATTTGGAATGATATTCCTGTGGATGCATGTACCGCACTTTGTCTGGTCACCTATTGTTGGGCACTTGCCTTGTTTTGAACTGTGAGCAAGGTCACAATGAACCTTGGAGTCCTTGCTTTCAAATCTTCTGGCTGTAAACCCAGCAGTGAAATGACTAGATCACATCATAATTCTCTATTTCTTCTTTGAGGAACCACCAAACTGTTTTCCACAACAACTCTCTCATTTTACATAGTCAGCAGCAATGGATGAGGGTTCTAGTTGCTCTACTTCCTGGCCAGCAGTCATGTCCCCTTTCTTCATAAAAGCTGGTCTATATTCTAGCAGGTGTGAAGTTGTCAAGGATTTCATCTTACTTGGGTTCACAATCGATGCACATGAAAACGGCAGTCAAGAAATAAACCAATGAATTGTATTTGGCAAGGATGATGCAAAACACCTCTAAGAGTGTTAGGAGTAAAGATGTCACTTGGAGGACTAAGGCGTACCTGACCCAAGCCATGGTTTTGCAATCACTACAGGTGCATACTAAAGCTGGACAATGAATAAGGAAGACCAGAGAACTGATCCTCTGAATGATGCTATTGGTGAAGAATATTTGATATGCCACGGGCTGTCAGTATAGACCCAGAATTCTCCATAGAAGTGAGGTGGGTGAAGATCCGTCTCCTGTGCTTTAGACATGTTATCAGAAGTGATCCGTTCCGGAAGAAGAATAGCAAGCTTTGTACAGAAGATGGTGAGAGAGAGAGAGAGAGAGAGAGAGAGAGACTTTCAGTGAGATCAACAAGACTTTCATCGTTGACACAGTGGCTACAATGGGCTCAAACATAGCAGTCATTTTGAGCATAGTGTAAGTCCTGGCGATTTGTCATTCTGATGTACACAGGGTCGTTGTGAGTCAGAACTAACCACACCAGAATGCCACCACTGGTTGTGAGGTGGGATCACATCGTAGTTTGGATCCAAGTTGTTCCAGTGACTTACATAGCCCCGGCTGCACACTGGTCAAGTGCTTATGTGCTAAACAAAAGGATGCTAACCAAAATGTCAGCAGCTGTTCCATGAGAGAAAGACACGGCAGTCTGCTTCTGTAAGGACTCAACTTAGGAATGCTAAGAACTTGTTCTTCTCCGTCCCATCAGGTTGGCACGAGTAGGCATTCACTCAGTGGCAATGGTTTGTTTGTTTTTAATAAATAATAATGTTAACATCGTTTTATGTGTTCCTGCAATTCCTTTGTTAAGGCATATTTTTATTTGGTTAAGGAAACCTTCCCAATCGTGAAAAGTCTGCTCATGCATTTCTATGCTAATTTGGGGCAGGGGGGCTTTCCGTTTTCATAGAGAAGTCCCCTGTACAATCATTGGTTCACTGCACTGTGGATCCCATTTGACTTCAAGCTGACCAGTGCAACTAGACAGACTTTTCAGATTCTAGGCATTTTGGTAGTTTAATTGTATAATTCTGTGGGGCTGTACCTTTGTTGGTCTGCTTGTGTCTACTTAGTGAGTGTATCTGACAAACTCTTGCTTGAATACCTAAAGATTAAACTAAGGAATTAAAAACCCAAAAGGACACACATTAAGACTTGGGATGTTGCTCATGAAAGCACAGTAGGAAATCATTAGGACCACCTGCTGAGTGCTCACTGGAAGAAAAGTATTTATTGTAGGTTCCTGGTAGAAGGGTCTCTTTTTGTTCTCTTAGGGAAGTGGTTCTCAGCCTTGAGACCATCCGCTCTTCCTTCCCCTGAGTTACTTACTGTCAAGTGGTTTCTGACTCATGGTGAGCCCACATGTGTAAAGAGTCGTACTGTACTCCAAAAGGCTTTTGGTGGCTGGCTTTTAAAAGCTGAACCCAAGACTTTCTCCCCAGGTACCTCTAAATCAGTCAAACAGCGGAGCTGCTGAGCCTTTTTGCATCACCCTGAAAGCCTTGTTAACCCTTTCAGGGTTATTTTGTTAACACCATGCCTATCGTTAGTGGAAGTCATGCTGAAATCAAGGAAAAAGGTAATTGAAACAATATGGATTTTGATTCCGTTATGTGGGACATATATATCCCAGATGTACGGTGAGGGTAGGGTTGGTAGGATGAGGGTGGTTTCTTCAGATTTATGCAGGTTCTGGCCAGGCAGCAGCATGTACTGCAACTGGGAGAGCAGTTTCCCAAGAAAACTCAGAGACTGAAAATGTTAGGGGACAGTCTCCGTTCCACAGGTCCTTGCTCAGCAATCTGTTCTTTAACTCTTTCACTAAAAAAGGTTTGTCATCAGTTGGGTCTAGGATGAGCTGGCAGTTAGCTTTTCTATAAAGCTCCCAGGAGAATCTCCCACTGCTACTGGCTCGGTACTGTACTTTGAGAACCCCTGCTCCCAAGGATCTCTTTGATTTCTCTCTGTGCTTTAATTTTCAAATGGCAAGATCATAGCAAGTCCTCCTGCAGAAGGGAACATAATAAGCAAAACAAACAAGCAAACAGTAACAGTTGGATTCATATGTACATGACACCTTGGATGTCAGTGGATTAAAAAAAAATGAGAGTGGGTTCTCAGGAGACTTGTTCCACCATCTCCATCACGCGCTGTAAAGGTTGCGCTGTAGCGACGAATTCTGTGACATCACAGCAGCTCCCACCACCATGCACACTAAGGAGCCAGTCAATACATTCAAGAAACCTGCCAGTGTAACACAAGAACTGCTCGGTCGAATCAAATATTGAGTTGAACTTCTCCCTTCTTATTAGTTTATTTATTGTAGTAAATTATATATATCATGTTTAAGGGTGAGGTTAATTTTGTGAAAACAATCCAGTAGGTTTGTTTGCAGTCACCCAAACTGAGGGTAAATATCATGCTTGTGAAGCATTTATGCTTTTTGCAAATTCATTTTAAATGAGTGAGTTAAGATTTGGGTGTAATAAAGATCAAAGGGAGTCTTCTTTTATGCAAAGTTGTGAGTGAAGTACAGCCATTTCTTAGATTAATTGCTTGTGGAAGCTGTTTCGGAGATGGGCAGGCAGTGTGATTGCCTAAAGGCAAAATGTGGCTCACTCACTAGCTGCAAACTTATGCAACTTCCATGCTTTTGCGGTTGCCTCCGTTTCTGCATGTGTAAAATAAGGGCGATGATGGGGTACACTTCAGCAGATTGCTAATAATGACTAGACATCATATTTGGAACTTGCCTGATACATAATGAGTCCTTCCCTGATTGTTACGGTTCTTAGCAGGAGGAGCTCAGAAGGAAGTACCTGGGGTGAGACCAGGCCTTGAGTACTCGGCAAGCTTGGCAATGGTAGTTGATTACTTTAGAACTGACGCAAGTGAACATGGCATGCTTCATACATGGTTTGGTTCCTTTGGAGTTCTAAACTTTTTTCTCACCTTTTACATGTCATATTTGCACTACAAACAGGTTAAAATCTGACATGCCATGAAAAGCCATTCTTTGTTCCAAGACGGTGCTGGGCAGTAATCAGACTTCATGCTGGGTAGCACGTGAACAGACTCAGCCTTGCTAATGAGCCATCTTTTGTTGGGGCCGGTCCAGTTGGTGTTAGAATCCAGCCTCACCTGGTTTATGTTTCTTCCTCCAAGATTAATAACTGTACAGATACTGCTCATTTCTGAAGCTAACCCACGGCACATATAGGGTCCAAGGGAGAAGTTAGCTTTTATAAAGCGTTACATCCTCTTGCACTAAGTATTCATTTTCTCAATATGCCTGACCTTGAGCTGAATATTTACCTATAGCGTGGTACTGAGCTTGGTGTGTACATAAAAAGGCCATTTGTGCTAGTACCAGGCCATGCTATTGAAAATGCAACGCAAACTCACAATAATGAAAACAAAACAGCCCTTTAGTTTTTCTTCCTGAATGGGAGGTGTATTTCTCTTTTGATTGTGATAGCAGAAAACAGCCACTAAAATATAACTGTGGACACAGGTATTTCCGCCAGGTAGGTTGATGCTCTGTGCAGAGTCTTGAATTAACTCTTAAACTAGCAAGCCAGTCAATGATTTCTTTATATCTTTTCTATCATATAATATATGAGCTGAGTGACAAGACCCGTTTTAAAAAATCCCCCTTCTCACCACTTTTTCTTCCACATATAGACCATATTACCTCCTGGCAGGATATGGAATTGAACACCAGTGTGCCAGTTTATATGGGGGAAAATCTCCTTGGTAGGCCCCAAATACAAGACAAGAAAGCCTATAAGAGAGCTAAAAGAGCACTAAGATGAATAAAAAAATAACTATTTTTCCTTATTCCAGTCTTTATTTATTTAAACTATGGACCTATAGGATAAAGTTTACTTCTAAAGTTCTCAGTCCTTAACTTATATTACATATATTTTAGGGAGGAGAATGGCTTGCATTCTTAAAGTGAGAGGTATTCTGAGAATTCAATATATATTTATGTATGTAATTTTTGGAAGTGTTGGATATTATTTCTATATTCCTTTTAATTTGGATGTCTGGGTT